AAAGAAAAAAAGGTCTGTTGCAATGGAAATTTTTCCTTGCATAAGTGAGTGAAATTAAAACTTGGTATTTAATCACTCTCAACAGAAAAGCTTCTTGAAATATAACCTATAAAAATAATAACAATGTGATCATTTATCTGTCCCCTAAAGTCTGGTAAAAATAACTTGCCTGAATAATTAGAACTGTTTTTAAACTGCTTCTCCCCAGAATCATTATCTCTCTCCCTGGTTTTAGAGATTGTACACCTACAGAACCACTAAAATGCACTGCTTCAAGTGCAAACGCTTAAAGAAGCCTTTCAGACTTTGGGTTCTCACACCAAGCCAAGTGAAGTTGAATGCTAACATTACCTTACATAAGAAAGAATGAGTTCAGACTGAGAGCAAAAGAAGCACTGCTTTTGTTTGCTCTTTCAGAAATGCTCACTCAAGAAAGCCTGGAAGTAAGAAAACTAAACCAAGACAGACAAGCAGATGTGTCAATCATCCGCTCTGGTAGTTGAAGCAGGATTTGACAAATTAATGTCTGCAGCCGAAATCTGACCCATCACCTGTTTTTGTGGCGTCTGCAAGCTAAAAATAGCTTGTATATTGTGACGTGATGAAAAAAATCAAAATAAGAATAATATTCTGTGACACATTTAAACTACATGAAATTTGAATTTTAGTATCCATAAGTAAAGTTTCATTGGAACATAGCTATGCTCATTTCTTTCCATATTATCCATTGCTGTTTTCACACTACAAAGGCATTGTTGAGTAGCCGTGCCAGGGACCATATGGCCTGCATAGCCAAAAATATTTACTATCTGGCCCTTTACATAAAATGCTTATTGACTCCTAAAATTATAGTAAGTACTCTTTACATCTGCCAGGGTTTGGGTAACTTCTAGTTTTATTATATTTACTTTAAAATTTGAGTTTAAAAGGAATTGATCTTTTTTTAACTACTGGAATGGATTCTAACATGGAAGAACTAAGAGTGGATTCTAACAAAGAAGGAACAGAAAGAGGGAAGAAGGCCCCTAATAACTGTTTGATCTAGTCATTAGCCAAGACTAATTAGGTTAAAATTAATTTCTTCCAAGAAGTAATGTATGACCCTGGCTTCACTGCAAGAAAGTAGAGGAAGAGCTGAACTCGATATCTAGATCAGTTTGTAGGATCAAATAATGTCCTTCAAATATAACAACTGTATATGACACAATATAAAAAAGAATCTGGCAGGATGATCCTCTGACTCCAGTGCTAATATCAAGTCTTTTGATTCACTCTGTGGATCTGATGGTGGATTCTACTACATATTTCTACATAGGAGAAAGGATATTAATGGCAAGTTCTTGTTGCTCATTGATTTCTCTCTTTTAAAGTTCTAGAAAAATATAAGACAACACATATAGAATGTATCAAAAAGTGAACTTTCTAACAAAACACGTTTTTATTTTTCATACTAGAGAGAAGACAGCTCCTTAGCATTTCACCAATGCATTTCAATCATTCTCAGGTAGGAAGCTGCCTACCATTTGGAATTCTCCCAGCAGCCAATGGTCCAAGAATTGTAGACCCAAGTTGCCCCAATAAGAGCATCGTGCACACGCCTCATGAACACTTATCCAGTTGTCTGACAACCATTCCAAATTCTAAAAAGGGCCTCCTCCCATTCATGTAATCATTGGCTTCAGGCAATGAAGTTTCTGAACTGCAACCTTGCTCCTTTGGCTGTAATTGATAGAACCCAAACTGGGCTGATGAATACCATTTCTGGGAATAGGAATTGTGAGAGGTAAAGAAAAAGTCCCAGTACATTGCAGACCCAGTTCCAGCTGATATCTGAAAATCGGCTCCTCCCAAATTCTATAAGATGCCCTACTACCCTTATGCTATACAGTAGTCCCTTTTTGTGAGTGACCCAATGTGAGTTGCTGTTGCTTGTAAACAAGAGTGCTAGCTAACCCACCAAACAGACTCCCTTCACGAAGGGAAGCAAAGGAGGAAGAAATGAACAAAGAAAAGAAGGAATTAAACTAACATTTACTGAGTGCCAACAATATATTAGGCACTGTGCTAACCAAGAAACAGTCCTTATCTTTAAGAACATTACAGGAAGAGTAAGTCTCAGAACAGTCCCTGGAACTGGGTGTCAGAATGAGAGAACAGTCACAGAAAGTCTGTGTTTCTGGAGACAGTTCCTCTTCAGCTGTTACCAGTACCCTCTTCTGTTTTATTTTACTTCTGCCTTATTGCTTCCCTACAGTCCATCTTTTGTTTGTTTGTTTGTTTCTCAAATAGATTAGACCTCAGAATGGCAGAAACAATCTAAACGAGGAAGACAAAAAGCAGTGTGCTTGTTATACACTTCAGGGCCCAAAAAAGGTGCCCAAAAGGTACCCAGAAAGCCCTGATGGAGGTTGCCGAATTCTATTTCCACAAAGAGGCAATTTTTTTCTCTGGCTTCCAGTTCATTCTTCAAGTTTTTTTGAGTTTACATATTATTCATGCATCTGTGAAAGTGGCTATTCTTCAGTACCGGCCTTTAGTGTCTCAGAAAATAATAGCTGAGGGCCCCCAAGGATCTTCCCATAACATTATGTAGCAAATTAGAGTAAATTAAATTCCTGTTTTGCATTAAGAGTTTGGGGAGAATTTTATCATAGCCTTTGAAGTTAGGAGATTGTTAGAGGTGGAGACTTTCTGCAGTTGGGGTGAGAGAGACCAGAACAACTATTCTTAATTTCTTTTTCTTAATCCAGACTATCAAGCCTAGAATTTTCTTTCCCCTCAGCCAATCAGGTTTACTTAGAGACCTCCTTCCTCACCCTTTACGTATCTGCTAATCTCCCAGTTCCTCCAGAAAGCATTTTCTGCCTGCCCTTCCTAGGGGGAGGTACTTACAGCCTCCCCTGGATCCCATTCTGTGTCCCCATCATAAAACCATACCGCACTGTACTCACTGCCTGTTTGCCTGCCCATCTCCTCATGAGGATATGTTCTGTGAGTAGCAGGAAGGGTCTTCCATCCTCAGCCCTGCACACTGCTTGGCACAGAGTAGGCCTTCCCTAAAACATTTGATGAATTAAAAAGTAAACAAAAATGTAAAATGCAAGGTTATGTGGCCAGAAGATGAAGGGATTGGAGTAGGACACTCAGCTCCATTAGCCATTCCCTCTCTCCACTCACCCTCTGTCTTCCTCTGTCATGAGTTTTGGAGCAAGTTCAAAACACAGCTTCATAAAAAATAAGTTAATAACTTTTAAAATTAATAAAATAAAACAAAAAGCTCCTCTACTTTGCTAGCTGTGTGATCTTGGGAAAATTACTTGGCCTCTCTGAGTCTTAGTTTTTCCTTTTGTAAAATGGAAATATAATACCTATTTCTTTAGAAATATGTGAGTTATAATAAAATAATGTATGTAAAAGACTTACCCTGGACCCAA